GCCAAAAGCTCTGCGCCTATCATTAGGCCAGCTGGCCAGTGAAGCCACAGGGAGGGTTGGCGGCGAGAGATCGCGGTTAACAGCAACGGTAAATGACGTGCAAATAAATGCAGTCAACGATGCGCGCTAATTAAATTTGCTTATTATATTTAAGCGAGCACTAACCAAGTTTTATACAACACCATTAATTATACATAAACTACAATTGCTAAATGAATCAATTTAGAAAAGTTTTCAAATAGAGTTATGCTTTGTCACTCAATCTTAAATGTAAAGATGAACAGCCTACATATTAAAATATAACTTATTCTAGCATATATTTTTGTTTAGCAAAATATAGAAAATTTGTTATATATTTTTTGTAATCAATTTTTATCCAAGCTGAGCGCGACTTTAGTCTGTTCAAAGTATTTTCCTGTTTTTGTGCACTGTTATCCGTGCTAAAATAAATTGGTTGCTGTCTATGCTTAATGCATGTTACGACCATACAGATGGTTGTGCAACTAAAAATTACACTAGATGGCGCCAGCTAAATAAATTCGTTAAATTTTCAAAATCATCTTTCGCGGCCTTCGAAGTTAATATTTTCAGCCAAAAATAAAATTCTTGCATTATCTGCAGACTAGTGGAAGTATACGCGAATTAGCCCAAACGGAACTAAATTTTATTATTAATTAATTACTTTTAAATTTGATACAAAATGTGCACAAAATTATACTTCTACATCAAATGCTACTGAAGAAAACACATTGCACCTTCAATAATCCTATGTACGTATGTATATACATACATACATACACACGGATGGAAAGAACTGATTGCTTGCGAAAGAGAATCAAAAGCATAACCAGAAAAAGTTCGACGGCACAAAGTTAACGCCAAATTCCTAGAAAACAGACTTTGCTCGGCGCCATTCGTTTGTCCCGCTCGCACTCGCTGTCTTTAAAGCCGATCGTCGTCCTAACGGGACTATGCTCTTCAACATATACATACATACACGCATTACATTTATATTTATATTTGATGAATTATGCATCTACACTTATAGGCCGGGAGATGTGCAATATGAATATAATTAAAAACATATTCACACATTGCACGGCCTAAAAATGCTTACATTAGGCGCGAGGCCAAACGCAATATTTCCCAATTTGTTTTAATGTTCTTAATGTCGAAGAGAGCACGGTTCATTTTTAGGCCGGGAGATGTGCAATATGCTAAATAAGTTAATTAAACCCCACATATTGTCACAAATACCGTCCTTAAAATGGTCATGCGGACGCACTAGTTTTTCCAGCTTTAACTTTTCATGGCGGGAAATGGCGGAAAACGCACACACATTGAACACTAGACACGGACTGCAAAATATAGTTTGCACATATTAATTGAGCTGTGTAATCCTGTGATTTAATAGCATCTCCATTTGTCCGGCCGTGAAAAGTGCAATACTTGTAAAAATAAAAAAAAGAATTGACACTGACCACAGCCGAAAAACTAGGGATTCTTTTGACAAAAAAAATGCACTTTAGGTCTAGCACAGAATTAATAGAAAATTAAATAAATACACGACTGAGAAAGCTTAAGCCTTTTACTTATCGTAAGTATATTCGATTTTAAATTAGTCCTTCCAAAAAAATAAGTCCAAGTCCTCATCTGTCTACGAGACGAGTTGCTCGGGACGATGAAAAATTTATAATGACAAGTTTGAACATTTACAGCGAATTATGTTTTTCGTACAGAGGCTGTTAGGATAACAGCAGGAGCTGTTAATCATTTGAAAGGGCTGTTATGATAATCGATCCGTCGACTAATTGAAATGTTCGATAGTTTGGGTGAATTTATAAAGTATCTGTTTACATTTAAAATTTAAAAATATTAAGTAAAGTGTAAAGTGTAAACATAATATATTTCGTATTGCAGAATATACACAAAAAATTAACTTATAATCTTTTTAACATCATTATCTATCATTAGTTTCGTAAGGTCTGTTAATTTTGTTTTCATTTCCTTGTAGTACCCCGTTTGCTGATGCATCAGGGCGTAAAGTTTAACGCGCTCGTTCTGAATGGTTTGTATGCGTTCCCGATTCTCTCTGCTCTTTGCCATGGCAATCTGAGGACATACATATTTAATTTAAATTATATCAGACCATTATATATGTTTTGTACTAGAACTGACCCCAATAGCTTTTTCCTGAGACATAATTTGCTTTTGAATAAATCGAATGCTGGAATCCATGAGGCGCATGCGCACCGGCCTTGTCCGTTCCTCTGGCGTCAGTTTGTGAACGTTCCTGCCATTGTTCATAATTACGTTATTGTTACAACCAGCTGATAACCAGTGTTTTCAGAACTCACCAGTTTGTGCCTTTATAGGGTTCAAACTTTTCCTTAAGCACCTCCATGGTAATCAACTTCTTGCCAACATCATTGGACACAAAAAAATTATCGTTTATCTTGGGCAACACCTGGCTCATTCTCGTCCGTACACGTTCGATTAGAGTATCCTTGTTAAGGATAGTGTTCTCATGTTCCAATAGAATTGCTGCAAACGGTTCCAAGCACATGGCACTGAAATTGTTAACACCCATTAATAATAGTATGGACGCTTGCAATTTAAATTTAACTACAACTTGCCCCATGTCTGCAAAGATTTCCATAAGCGCTTTATCGTATTCTGCTTTTACTTTACCCGCAATCGGGCTGTGCCTTTTGAAGGCTTCTTCAATATTTGGTTCTGATACAGTCTTTCGTGCCGGTTGCGACATGTTTTAAGCAATAAAAATTACCAAAAACAAATTTGACGCGGCTTCAGCTTGGGTTGACAGTGTGACCACAGCTCTCAACAGCTGCGAACTATGGTTGCTTTCGTTGTCTATCGGTGGGCCACCACATTACCGCAGTCGATAACCTATCGTAGCCTATCGCTCGTTTAGAATATTTAAGAAATTCTATAAGATTGTTTTTGTTTACTTATTAGTTGATATTGCATAAAAAGCCGCCAAAATGGGTAAACGACAGCATCAAAAGGATAAAATGTAAGTCATACAGTCTAATCATTAGCTTCTTACTCACTGCTGTTAATTGCTATTAGGTACTTAACGTACACCGAGTGGACCGAGTTCTATGGTGGCAAGAAAGTGGAATCCTTGGAAAATGAACATATTAAATTTAAACGTTTACCATTTGGCAATTGCTGCATAACCATGGCACCATTTGAAATGCCGTACAGTGATCTTAATGGGAATGTCTTCGAGTATGAGGCTATATTGACATTCTTGAAAGCATTTAAAGTCAATCCCATTACTGGACAGAAAATGGACTCCAAGTCCTTGATTAAACTTAACTTTCACAAAAATGCCAACGACGAATACCATTGCCCCGCTTTGTTTAAGCCCTTCAGCAAAAACTCGCACATTGTGGCTGTGGGTACAACGGGCAACGTTTACTGCTGGGAGGCAATCGATCAGCTAAACATTAAGACCAAAAACTGGAAGGATTTGGTTGATGATACACCATTCCAACGCAAGGATATTATCACAATACAAGATCCTCAACATTTGGAAAAGTTCGATATATCAAAGTTCTATCACATCAAGAAAAATTTGCGTGTGTTATCAGCGGAAGAGCAGCTGGAGCGTAAGGATCCCCTGGGACGCATCAAGACCATGAATATGGAAACGAAAGAGACGCTGGCACAGCTACAGAAAGATTATCAACCAGCGGAAGAGGCACCATCTGGTTCTAAACGCACAGCAGACAAATTTAACGCGGCGCACTACTCAACCGGCGCAGTTGCAGCCAGCTTTACGTCCACAGCCATGATGCCCGTATCTCAAAGCGAGGCTGCCATCATAGACGATGATCTAGTCAAGTACGAGCGAGTCAAGAAGAAGGGCTATGTGCGACTGAACACAAATTTCGGGCCGCTCAACTTGGAACTTTATTGCGAGCAGACTCCACGCGCTTGCGATAATTTCATTAAACATTGTGCAGATGGCTATTATAATAACGTGCTGTTTCACCGTTCCATAAGGAACTTTATTGTGAGTAACACTCGACTTGGCGCTGAACTCAATAGTAACGTTATCTGATTTATCTTAGATACAAGGAGGGGATCCAACAGGCACAGGTGCTGGTGGTAAATCGATATGGGGAAAGATGTTTGAGGACGAGTTCAAGCCTAATCTAAGCCACACTGGACGCGGCATGCTGTCAATGGCTAATTCGGGGCCCAATACAAATGGCTCCCAGTTGTGAGTACCTAGTGAAGTTACTAATAAATTCAACTGATGGTTACCCGATATTCCTCTATAGCTTCATTACCTATCGCTCATGCAAGCAGCTCGACGGTAAACACACAATTTTTGGGAAATTAGTTGGAGGCCTTGAGACGTTGCAGAAAATGGAAAACATTGAGGTAGACAACAAAGACAGGCCCATTGAGGACATCATAATAGAGAACGCTCAGGTGTTCGTTAATCCGTTCGTAGAAGCTGTCGAGCAGCTGGCCAAAGAGCGTGCCGAGGAAGCAGCCAGTAAGCAGGTGGCGGCCATTAAACTTGAGCAGCAAAAACGTTTAAACGAACCGCTTAAAAAGTACCGTGAAGGAGTGGGCAAATATCTAAAAACAAGTGCGCCTAAAAACCCAGAACCACAATCACAATTGCCTGGAGCACAGCCTGCGAAAAAGAAGAAAAATACAAACGGTTTTGGCGATTTCTCCAGCTGGTAGCTGTGCTCAAATAAACACATATTTTTAATAAGCGTACACTGTTTCACTTTTCATTCTCCCCAAGTTCACGACTTTGCCAGGTCTTCTTCATCTCCTGCAATTTGCCTTGCCGACGTTTGCGCTCCGATGACTTTTTCTGATCGAGCACTTTCTGTTGTGCTGCAATTGACTGTTCTCCGTTTAGGTGCGCATCGAGCTTATCTAACAGTATTTTACGTGCCTCAATCCGATTCTTGGAAGCCAAACGATGTAGATGACACTTGACGGTTATGCCAGTTGGCAGATGACGTAGAAAGACGCAATTGTTGGTTTTGTTTACGGCTTGTCCACCCGGTCCGCTGCCGCGCATTAATGTCTCCTCAATATCCGACTCCTGGAGATTTGGGTAGCGTGAGTAGTCCAAGTGAGCCGTGGACGCCAGCCGGCACAGGTTGCTGGAGAGTGAACCAGCCAAAGATCGCAACTTGAGCATTACTAAAGTATTCGGCCTTTCTTAAGCAATGTTTCGCCGCGCTGTGGTAAATTCCAATTTATTTGGATTTAAGTTATTGTGATATAATAAGAAAAACACACCTTAAAATTGAACTCAATCTCTAGGGGACTTGTTAGCTGTCGATGCTCACGGAACTCGTGTCGCACTCTACCTAGAAAGTAGTTTTTATCCGTGAGCTTCAGGTGATTGCCGTATTTGATAAGATGCTTATAAAGGCGCAGCACCTGTTGTCGGGTTGGTTGAAACATATTCTTTTAAATCCCAACAAGAATTTGTTGTTCTCACGCATGCATGTAAAACTGAATTGCTGCCAGACTACATATAAAAACAGAGTTGCCATATCGGCTGTGCGGCTCACCATATGCGAACTAAATCAGCTGATGGCAGCACATGGTGTTTTTATTTTTAAACATACACACAAAAATATGTATTTATTAAACAGCGGTTTTAATCAACATATAAATTTGATAACGTTCTTAGCTATAAACAATCACCAATAATTTAGACTTATATTAACAAGCAACTAGTAAATTCTCAAGTCATTGCCAATTGCAATCTTTTCTTTTGCTTGTTCATTGTGACAGTTTGTGTTTAATAAATTGTTATCTATTCGAATTCCACGCTATTAATCCACTTACTGCTATCAATATCTTCATCGATTTGAACATTATGCAAGCGGCTCAAGTCAAACATTTCCTTCATTTGGTGGGCAATCTCACGATCGACTAATTCACCGCCTTGCGACATAGCCTCCTGTATGATTTCGTCCTCTGATTTCTGGAGGGCAAACATTTCTGCGATCGTCAATGTTGGAGGCTCGACTAGCATCATTAAGAATGATGCTGAAATGCTTAGCGAATACGGCAAAAATCGTACGTACTCCTTCAGCAAATTCTCGCGACTGTAAAAAAACATAAATTTGTAAGTCCAAACAAGCTATTAATATTATAGTCATACCTCAAAAATTCCGGAAGTTGCCCATCTTTGTGCTTTGTGTAACTCTCAAAGAGCTCAGTACAATAATCATCGAAAATACTATCGAAATGCTTATGACGCACATCCGCAAGCACAGAGATGGCCAGGAATGTTGAGAGGTCGATCATGGGCGAGGACAAACGCATTGTCTGATAGTCAAACATCATTATATCCAGGGGAGTGCCACTATTGTCCGTATCGTACTTGTAAGCCACATTGTTTCTCAGGTAGTCACCGTGGCAGAGTATAGAGAGTGGCTCCTTGGGCGCCACTCGCTGACGTCCATAGCCCACATAGTTGAACACAGTTTGTTGAAACTTTTTGATAAACTCCTTGTCTACTTCTGGATGGTAAGTGATCGTCGCCTTGGCAACACGTTTCAGTCCAGTTTTTCCTACTAAAGCATATTCGGGACTGAGAACATCGTTGGCATATCGTGATTCCCGAAATTGACGAGTTAGCTGCTCGAACCGCTCCTTCTGGTTGTGTTTCATAGCATAGCCAAATCCATGAAATCTGCCCAAGTACTTAACTGAAAGAATGTTATTCCTTAGTCAACGACTTGATTTACTTTGATCTCTGGCTCACCTGCGATGCGCGTGTGCTCCAGACTCAAGCCATATCTGTCCTTTGTCACACTCCAGCCTTCCGCTGAAAAATCTCCCAGGATGAGCAATGCGGACTTCGGTTTTATCTCGCTGTGATAATACTTGGGTGCAGCAAACTTGCCATTGCTCAGCCTTAGAATAAGAGGTAGTATCTCAATGTAGAAACTAACTTCGTTGTGGAATAGATCATCAAACTGTGCACTATCGTAAAATTCAGGCGGTACCTCTGGCGTTTTCTGTACACAGAAATGTGTTAATTAATTAAAATAATTGTTTTGTACACTATTTAAATAGTATTGTATGCACACCTTAACAACAAATTTTCTCTGCTGCGCCTCGCCTGCATATTCAAAATTAACTGTCGCTCGGTAGCATTGAGTCAACATAAACGCCTCTTCAGGTCCGATTACGGCGATTTTGATGTCCCCCACCTTGAATGTGCTCAGCTTTGACTCGCTGTAATTGTCCACAAGACGTCCGTTTTTTAGAATCTCTGGCAAGATTGAAGTGGTCAGCCACTCGACTTCTCGATCAACGTTCAACGCCATTATCAGAGAGTATTTTCGAGAACCTCTCGGCTTCGTGAATACCGTACAACTAGTCGTTAGTCGACTATGCAATGCTCATTTTAAGCGACAATAGACGAACGTGAACTTGTATGTACATATATCAAATTATATGTATTTGTACAAACTAATCAGAGTGTGGATGCTTGTGTGTGTATGGTCGATGTTTGTTATATTATTGTTTGGGCTTGTCGAAATGAATGCGAATTTAATCGCAAAATGTGAGGGTTCTCAATAACGAAAATAGTGTGCTCTCCACGATAAGATATGATCACATTTTGTGGCGGGCTATTGCTGAGAGCGTCGAGTTGTGAAATACAAAGCTTTGCACGGCTAAAAGATATAATTACTTGGGTAATGTTTAATAAATAATAGAACACTTTGGATTTGCCTATAAATCAAATTTATGAGTCTAAGTTTACTCTTAAATGTGCACCACTTTATAAAACTGAACACTTCGTAAGGCATGTGCTTTTATCAATCCAATCTCATATATTTTTTCTCGGTCCATGATTCCATCCCTCACCACGTCGCTTTAAAGCTGGTTTTACACTCTTTTTTATATGGAAGCTCCATGTTGAAGTTTTACTTTGCCGCAAATATGATGTACTCTTTTAATAAATCATCGCGACTGCAAGAATTTTATTCTTAATTAGTGTTCATAGATAAAATTAAAAGATATAAAATTACTTGAGTTACGCTGGCAGTGAATTAATTGAATGACTCCTATAGCTTTAATATTTATTCCTGAGGTTGTCGAGATGGCAGAGTTTGGGACTTGTATACATATGCTGCCGCGCAGATCAGACTATAAACAAGTGATGAAAGACAAATGTTATCCTGCTGCAGATGGCGGGGTTAATTAATCATTTTTTCTGCAGCTGCGAATATGAAGGGCTGCACCAATCTTTATATGGATGAACGGGCGCTATAAGGTGCGTCCATTTCCTGACGATTTTCCTAGAATTTTCCTCCTAGAACTCACACTTAGTTTCAAAACTTGGTAGCATTATCAGACCAGATGGATCTTGATGTGATCGGTGGCTATAAAACGCGTGAGAACGTCAAGAACATTGAACTGGTTTAAGCTTCAACCTAACAGACCTGGTTGCAAAGTAGATGAAGTCGGTAATATAGCAATTTGGGGGTCGAATCCACGCCACTGATTGTAAACGGCCTTGAGTCTCAGATGCGCTCCATTGGCAGGTCAGCCATGATGTGGTAAAGGCTCGGGGCTGGGCTCATGTAATATACATGCTCAATGATCGGGCCGAGGTTTTCATGCCGCTTATTGGCTTAAACTGTGTCAGGATGGATGCCAGCAAGCATGAGTATGGATGGTGAGCCTCAAAGCAACGCGGTGGGTGTATAAAGCGACCGCCAACGCGATACAGGCCGAAGTTGTCAAGAAACAATGATAACGGTACGATGCTGCTAGAGGATGGAACTGTTCTTTAGTTTTGCAGCGCTGGGTAATCCGATGATGAGATGGACCAAAGGACCTTATGTGGTCCGATCCGAATGTATCGGCTCTCATTCCAATGAAACTTGGCTCTCCACATGCTTTGTAAGATAAAATTTACTTTAATTGAAGTTGGCCCTATTAAGCCAATCGCGATGGCCAGTTGGGATACAAACCTGTAAAATAAATATACATATATGTATATAAAATTAGGTTGCTGCCAGACTACACACATACATAGCGTTGCCATATCGACTATACGGTTCACCAATGCAAATTAAATGTACATACACACTTACAAAAATATTTATTTATTAAACCCTAATTTGGGACAACATATCTAATTGATAACATATTTTGATATACACACCTTTAAAAAGACAATCACCAATTATCTATACATATGTATATAAGCGAAGCAGCAGGTATAGATATCAAAAGGCATTGCCAATGGAAATCTATTTTTGCTAGTTCACAGTTTTTCGGACTAGATTTCGTGAGTTAATATCTATTCAAATTCGACACTATTAATCCATTTACTGCTATCAATATCTTCATCGATTTGAACGTTGTGCAAGCGGCTCAGGTCAAACATTTCCTTCATTTGGTGGGCAATCTCACGATCGACTAATTCACCGCCCTGCGACATAGCCTCCTGTATGATTTCGTCCTCTGATTTCTGGAGGGCAAGCATTTCTGCGATCGTCAATGTTGGAGGCTCGACTAGCATCATTAGGAAGAATGCCGAAATACTTAGTGAATACGGCAAAAAGCGAATGTACTCCTTCAGCAAATTCTCGCGACTGCAAGAAAACATAAATTGGTAAGTCCAAACAAGCTATAAACATAAAAATAAAAATAATACTTCAAAAATTCCGGAAGTTTCCCATCTGAGTGCTTTGTGTAACTCTCAAAGAGCGCAGTGCAATAATCATCGAAAATACTACCGAAATGCTTATGACGCACATCCGCGAGCACAGAATTGGCCAGGAATGTTGTGAGGTCGATCATGGGCGAGGACAAACGCATTGTCTGATAGTCAAACATCATTATATCCAGGGGAGTGCCACTATTGTCCGTATCGTACTTGTAAGCCACATTGTTTCTCAGGTAGTCACCGTGGCAGAGGATAGAGAGTGGCTCCTTGGGCGCTACACGCTGACGTCCATAGCCCACAGAGTCCCACACAGTTTGCTGAAACTTTTTGACAAAGTCTTTGTCCACTTCTGGATGGTAAGTGGTCGTTGCCTTGGCAACACGTTTTAGTGCAGTCTTTCCAACTAATTCAAACTCGGGAAAGATAACATCGTTGGCGTAACGAGATTCCCTGAAATGACGAGTTAGCTGCTCGAAGCGCTCTTTCTGGCTGTGTTTCATTGCATAGCCAAATCCATGAAATCTGCCCAAGTACTTAACTGGAAGAAGGACAGTCTTTAGTCAATGATTTAATTTACTTTGATCTCCGGCTCACCTGCAATGCGAGTGTGCTCCAGACTCAGGCCAAATCTGTCCTTTGTCACACTCCAGCCATCTGCTGAAAAATCCCCCAGGATGAGCAGACCGAAGTTCGGTTTTATCTCGCTGTGATAGTACTTGGGTGCAGCAAACTTGCCATTGCTCAGCTTTAGAATAAGAGGTAGTATCTCGGTGTAGAAACTAACTTCGTTGTGGAATAGAACATCGAACTGTGCATCATTGTAAACGTCTGGCGGTATCTCTGGCGTTTTCTATGCATGAAAATGTGTTAATAATTTCACAAATGTTTTCCTAGTAGCCAATTAAAGCTGAGTTTTTCATAGTAAATCTAATATTTGATGCAAACATTTAAGTTATTGTGGGAAACTACAATGAATTCTGTATGCACACCTTAACAACAAATTTTCTCTGCTGCGCCTCGCCTGCATATTCAAAATTAACTGTCGCTCGGTAGCATTGAGTCATCATAAACGCCTCTTCAGGTCCGATTACGGCGATTTTGATGTCCCCCACCTTGACTGTGCTCAGCTGTGACTCGCTGTAATTGTCCACAAGACGTCCGTTTTTTAGAATCTCTGGCAAGATTGAAGTGGTCAGCCACTCGACTTCTCTATCAACGTTCAACGCCATTATCAGAGAGTATTTTCGAGAACCGCTCGGCTTCGTGAATACCGTACAACTAGTCGTTAGACGGCCATGCAATGCTCATTTTAAGCGACAATAGAAAAGCGTAAATATACGAGTATAAATTTATATTTGTATGGACTAATCAGCGTGTGGATACTCGTGTGCACATGTTTGATTTTTGTAATATTTGTTTGGTCTAGTGCAAATAATTGCGATTTTAATCGAGTAATGTGAAGGTGCTCAATGACGAAAAAAAGCTCTCGATAAGATATGATCAAATTTTCGTAGTCAAAAAGGCGGCGAATTTCTGAGAGTATTAAAAGAGTGTTAAACACAAAGTTTTGCAAGGCTAGAAACTTAATTAGTTGAAAAGTGTTTAATAGATTAGAGAACATTTTGGATGAACATATTTTTATGTTGCCAATTTTTAAATTTATGCCATTCGATATAACTTAAGCACTTTCGTATAGCGAATTTGTTTCTGTTACAAATTTGCAGGCATCTTTAATCCAATCTGATGTATCAATATCCTCATCTATTTGCACTTTGTGCAACTGGCTCAGCTCGTACAACTCCTTTATTTGATGGGCTATTTCACGGTCCACCAGTTCACCGCCTTGCTTCAATGCTGTCTGAATAATTTCTAAATCCGAAAGCTCCTTGTTAAACATTTCCTCCGCCGAAACTGTTGGTGGTTCAACCAGCGAGAAGAGGAAGTAGCACGTTATGTGCACGGCGTATGGCAAGATCCTGATGTACTCTTTCATCAAATCATCGCGACTGCAAAAATTCAGTTCTTAATTAATGTTAAACGAATAGCTTTAAAGATGTGTATTTACTTGAGGTACGCCGGAAGTGAAATACTTGAATGTTTCCTATAACTTTCAAACAGCGCATTGCAATAATCATCAAAAAGACTATCAAAATTGTTGTAGCGCACTTCGGCCAAAAGCGAGAGTGCCAGGAATACGCAAAGATCCATCATGGGCGAGGACAAACGCATTGTCTGATAGTCAAACATCATTATATCCAGGGGAGTGCCACTATTGTCCGTATCGTACTTGTAGGCCACATTGTTTCTCAGGTAATCACCGTGGCAGATGATGGCGAGTGGCTCCCTGGGCGCCACACGCTGGCGTCCATAGCCAATGTAACTGTATAGGAGTAGCTGAAACTTTCTGACGAATTCCTTGTCCACTTGTGGCTGATATTTAGCTACTACCCGTTCCGCTCGCTTGAGACTGGCCTTATGCTTTAGTTCCCATTCCTTGTTCAGAGACTCTTTGGCATAACGTCCTTCCCTGAGCTTGCTAGTGAGCTCCTGGAAGCGGTCGCTATGGTTGTGCTTCATGGCATAGCCGAAGCCATGAAATTTGCCCAAGTACTTGACTGGAAGTGGAATAGTCTTTAGTAGATGACTTAGTTCGGTTTGATCACTGACTCACCTGCAATGCGCGCATGCTCCAGACTCAGGTCAAATCTGTCCTTGGTCATACTCCAGCCATCCTCCGCAAAGTCGCCCAGTATAAGCAGTGCGGAGTTCGGTTTTATCTCGCTGTAATAATACTTGGGTGAAGCAAACCTGCCATTGCTCAGCTTCTGAAGGAGTGGCAGTATCTCAATATAGAAGCCCACTTCATTGCTAAATAGATCATCAAATTGCACCGAATCATATACTTCAGGCAATATCTTTGGAGTTTTCTGTGGATATCAATGTGATACGTTTATTAACATCTCGTATTTTTTGAGTTCTTGTCTATCTTTATTATAATCACGATTAAGAGATTGCTTAAGATATATCGTTATCATGTGGCAAGCTTGTCTATTATAAGTATTTTATTTCTCATAAGCATAATACAAACTTTTATTTTGACACGCTTATCTACTATATAATACTTTTCTTATTACATGCTTACCTTAATAACCAGTTTTCTCTGCTCTTGTTGGCCAGCATATTTAAATTTGATATTAGCCTTGTAGCATATGGTCAACATGTAGGCCTCATCGGCGCCGATTACATTGATTTCGATGCTCTCCACCTGGAATGTGTCCGCCAGCGACTCGCTGTAGTTCTCCAATAGACGTCCACTACGCAGGATCTTCGGCAAGACGCTTTTTCTCAGCCATTCGATTTCGTTCTCAACTATCAGCGACATGTTAGAGATAAAAGTAGATACAACGAGTGGTTAGCCACGGTAGAAGTTTCCGACTGACCTGAGCTGAGGCTCTTGTCTTTCTTATGTATGAGATTATATGCATAGACGTGATATCTGTCTCTTATCTGAACAGATATCAGCCGTGCAGGCACATAGACATCTTAACCTATTGAGGCCTGTCATTCCTTTTGTTCCATTTTCTACGCTCCTTATCTGTAATCAAAAAACAGACCAAAACCATTTAGCTATTGTCAAATTTAGCTAATTTCAAATATCTTTGTAAAATACAAATCGAGACTTGCAGTTCGCGGAAGTAGGGATGTATTTAAATGAGGTCTAAAAATTGAGGCCTATAATTTGGGCAGGGGAATACTCGCTAGCTGACATCAACTTTTATTTTACTGTTTTGACTCAAGTTGTTTCGCTTTAAAATTCAAAATTTAAACGCTATTTCCGTGCAATACCATTAACAGCATTCGACAACTGGCCATGTCGCAAAAGTGGTATAGGCTCTCAGTCTCAGGCTCGTTCGCAAATCCGCAGAACTATGTTAACATATTGACGCGTGCCAGGGTGTCTTCAATCAAGCCAGAAATGCCAACGCCAAAATATATTCCGGCTAAGGGTAGCGTTAGCGTTCTGAGTATGACCACCTTGTCCCGATTGTCAATTTTGGACAAAGTAGGTCCCACAACGTCGGTAAAAAAGCCAAGCCAAAAAGCCCCAAGGCTCAGGCCAAAGAAAAATGAAACATGCGTAGCACAGTGCCAACAGGGCCAATGCACGGCAGAAGATTCCCAGCTGATAAAGCAGTTCATCAGAGAAGTGCACTATCGCAAGCTCAAGCAGTACTATGCCCAAATGATTGCCGCCGAGAGAAGCTGGCCGACATATATACCGATCCGTAGCATTTGTCCCGACTGCGGATTACTCAAGCATCAAGCTCCGGCCAAGGATATACGTCACAATGTCTACTGTTGGGGACCTGAAACAATGTGCTAAGTTTCTCGCTGCTGCACTTACCTGCCAAAGATGCTTCTCTTGGCCCACACACTTACATGCTAGGCCTCTGCATGTGTGTGGGTGTGTGTGTGTTTAAGAGCAGCACCTTTGGCATATAAGTTTCTTAGCTATGGAACAGGCTCCCATCTGTGTACAACATTTTGTTCAATTTAATAAATCACATGTGCGTTCAAAATGGGAATTTCGTCTTGTTTGTCAACTGGTGCTGGGATTTCAGCACAGTCAGAAACCGAATTCAGTTTAGTCAGCACATAGCTCCAACATCTCGCTCTCATATTCTCCTAGTTGACCAGTTCAAGCCGCCATAAAATGTATTCCCAGCCGGCACAGAGTACGAAAAACACACAGACGGAGGCACAGCCGGCACCGCCCCCGATATGTGTGCCCCTGCTCATGGTTGATGAGGATGGGAAGAGGCGGTACTGCTATCATGGCGGCAAATGCCGTTGCGAAATGTGCGAGAGAATACGGCAGGCACAGCAGGATGAACTGGACAGGAATCTTGATGCATTCATACCACATAACCGTCTCAAGCTGGAACCGGCCATACGTCAGGTGAAGCACAAGCAATATAAACTGGAGGCAACGCGCGTTTCGCCGGAATATGGTCTGACGCTGCTCAAGGATCACTTGAAGCTGGTCAAGGATAATCCAACCTATTACCTGCCGTACAAGTATTATCTGAGAGATGCTTGGCGCGTTGTTGGTCCGCTGGACAAGGGCACGCAAACGGAAATACTTATTGGCAACTATGGCGTCGATGGTTGTCCGTGCCCCGAGAAGTCCGTTTGCTGGGATATCTAGTCCTGTAACACACTTATATCTAATCGCTAGGGGAATAAAGACTCGAGATGAGTTTGTATTAATCGCAATCTTGAATTGGGTTTTCGGTTTGGGCATCTGTTGACAGGTCAAACAAATGTCTTGACAGCTGGCAGAGCTGTGTCGGCTGTCGATAGAGTCTCAGATCAAAGTGGCGTATTAAGCAGCTGATTTAAACAGAATCTTTCGTAACAAAATTATCCGAATTTTCCGCAAAACTAAAAACACAATGCTGAGACGTATGAAATGCGTGAAGCTGTTGCAATCGTCATTCTCTCCTGCGTGCGGACGCCGCCAGGTCCATACCAAACTCGACGAGAACGCCATCATAACCGGTGCGACTGCGTTCATGGCCAAAGGAGATATACGTACGGAAAGTGTGAACGTTTTGCCCCAGACCAAGTACGGCGGCATCACGCACGTAACGCTCCTTTGCGGCGAAACCATAATTGGCAAGCAGGGCGCCAAATATGTGAAATCCCTGCTGTCGAGCGCCCGGGTGCCGGTGGATGTGCAGCGCATCTTTGTCGATCAGGAATTAGAGTATTACAATTCGGTGTTGCGCAATCGAGCTGCCATCCATGTGGACATTGTGCACGATGCGATTTCGAAAAAGAATTCGCTGAAGGTCTGCAACGATCTGGATCTGCACGTGTTTATGACCAACCTGCGCAGCTTTCCGGGCTTCAACTGTCGCTTTCCCAATGTCAACATCCAGCTGATCGCGCAGAACAACATGGGCAACTATGCCGAGCTGGAGTATTCGCCAGTGAAAGGTGTGGTCGAGGGACTGCGCGTTGTCACCAGCCGCGACATTAAGCGCTTTCTGCGTTACGCCTTCAAGGTCGTGATGGATAAGAAGCGGCAAAAGGTCAACCTTGTGCACAAGTCATCCGAGTGGCCAAAGACCGAGGGTATCCTGCTGGATATTGCACACAACCTGCAGAAGAACGAATTTCCCGATATACAGCTGGAGCCGATGGAGCTGGATAAATGCGTTGCCCGTCTGATACTCGACCCCGAGTACTTCGATGTGCTGGTCACCAGCGATCTGTACGGCACCTTTATGGCCACCATTTGCAGTGCCATCTGTGGCGGTGCGAATCTGTTCTCCTCGATTGAGATTGGGGAACATCATGCGGTGTTCAAGCCGCTGCAAACGAAACTCTCGCTGACCAACTACAAGGTGCTCAGTCCGTATGGGATTGTGTCCACCTGCGTGGATCTGATGCATCATCTGGGCCATTCCGATTGCGCCAATGCGCTCTGGGCCGAAATGATTCGCACCATGGAAGAAGGCATAAAGACGAGCGATTTTAAGGGCACAGACCGTGGCGAATATGTCATATGCAACATTATGAACCGGCTGCGTTGCAACATGTTCACCGATATACACAAAAAGAATTGATGGCAATCAACTTTGTACTAAATTTATTTTGATTGATTCGGATACGTAAAATTAACAAAATACATTTATGGGAACGAAAATGATCAAAAATTGCGTCTCAAATTATTGCCGAGCTGCGCTTGCGAAAGGGAGAAAAAGAATATCTGATGTTGATATTTTTCTTTCTTTGAGACGCACCTGCTGGTCCTCGGTGCGCAAATTGCTCTCGCTCGTCTGCATCTTCCAGTCGTCGGTGAAGGTGACTAGCTCGACAACACGCTTAAAGGACACACTCTTCTTGACCTTTGCGTGTGCGTGCAGAGCCTTGCCCTTCTTTTTGCTGGGATACTTCATATAGTCGTAGACGATCGGCTCCTTAATATCGGTCTGGGACGGTGTCGGCGTTGGGACTTCCATCAATTTTGTCGATCCACTTATTTTAGATAGAATTGCCTTCTCTTGTGGCTTTTCGATCGCATCCATGTTGCTAAGAATTTTTTTAAAATTTACATAATACTCTTGCTTTAGGTGCTTAAACTTCGATTTGGAACGCCAAAAATTTCTCGATTGGGTAAATATACACAATATTTTCGGACTTATATTAAAACACCAACATGTAAAACTCTTTTATTTGAAATTTGATCGGAAATTTAAACTATGCTAAAGTCAAGTTGGTTGAGTGAAAAATGAAAGACTAATTTGCATAGAAACATACAGACAGCCGGATATGGGAAATATGGAATATGGAAACTCTGAACTCTGATCGAGTTGTCTTATTATTATTAATTCAGCTGAAAGGTAGTATAGAAATTAGTTTGGCCAATTAAAGCCAGGTGAAATTGTCTATTCTTGAAATTGGCCAAAAGTAACCCAGCCAAGCGATGTTAATCATATTATGATAAGAGCAAATATGTGAATGCAAAAATACTACCCGTAATAATAATAATGGGCTATTATGTGTTATGCCAAGGCAATAAACTTTACTCCAATTTGCACGTACAATTTCAATAAATTTATGCGCAACCATTGCCAGAGGCAACAACTGTAAACAACTACATAAATTCCATACCAAAAACTCGCAGAAAGAATAGAGACTGTAGAACAATTGCTCCAGCTTGGTTGAAGCCCTGCAGAGAGGGCGGCAATAAAATGCTTGCTCGCCAGAAGTGTAGCATATTTGCAGGCGCCAAGGAGCAGAGCACAGCGGGCGCTGTGGAGATAAGTAAATAAATTGGTACATGTGTAAGCCCCAGTCGATACTTTATCATCATGCAAATGGCTCGGCTGTCGGGCAATGTTAATAAGTACAATAAACGGTTGAGCAAACAGCAAGAACAACAACCACAAATAGGCAAATCCTTGCCGTGGGCCAAGGCTTTGCTATGCCAAATTATGGCTCCTTTGGTCAGAGAGCAGCGCCACATTTTAATCCCATGACACACACGCACACACATTTGTAGTTATTTATTTATGTCTATGCCAAATTACATACAAAAAGTCACTTAAATTATATTGTTACACATTGCCCACACCCCATCTGCGCTCCCCCTCAGTGCATCTGCCGTTGCAGCTGACATCTTGTCCGAGTCCGAGTGCGAGTCCGAGCCCGAGTCCGAGTCCTAGTCTGGGTCATTGCTCCGCCAGAGTCAGCTCGTTGTTGTTGTTGCCGTTGCCGCTGGCCAGCTTGGCTTTGGCCGTGCTGCACATCATCATGAAGGTGACCAGGGTCAGCTCCAGCATGCGGCACACACAATAGGCGACCACATCCACCAGGTGCTCCACGACGCCCAAATACAGACACATTTTCAATTGCACTTGCACTTGTGAGTTTCCTTTCTTTAGTTGATTTAACTGGTTCAGCTCTTGGTTTCTATCGCTTTGCGTGACGCCTAGACAATGTTTATGTTGTCGCCTTTTCCAAATGACAACACTTCACATTTGCGCCACTGTTTTCAGTCCTGTTGCTGCTGCTGCTGCTGCCCGAACTGTCTTCGTCTCGTTTTTCTCTACAAAACAATTGCCGAGTGGGCAAGACATTGGACAGCTTCCCAGTGTCGGTGCATGCGCAGCACCAACATGCTCTCTCGAGCTGTTCCGCCTCTCCCTCTAACCATACAAGGGGCCAAGCTTGAACTTTCTGCCGGGAGCTGTTATATGGCTAATAATATCATATTATATTCTAAGGAAATAAAACATATAATTATAAACAAATATACATGTTCAGACCCGGGTAGATGTGTTCTCTATGCTACTCAGTCATTTAGGCTCAACGAGGATCCGGGCTCAAGTCGCAGGCTTTGTCCTAGCCTCTGGCTTGAGAAGTCAATGCTATTTAAAGAAATGTTAGGTTGCAAGTTTATATAAATAAAATATTTATACGTATATATATAATAAAAGAGGGTTTTGCTAGTTTATAGTCGAAGTTTTAAGTACGAAATCGCAGCTATAAAATTTAAGATGAATTGAGTTATCAATTATCTATAGGCAATACGAATTCTACATTGAGAGCTTATTGAAGTATATTTAACAATATATTTAAGTATTTAAAGCTATCTATAGGCAATACGAATTCTACATTGAGAGCTTAATTAAGTATATTTAACAAGATTTTGAAGTATTTTAAGGTAAGCTGCAAACCCAATAAAATTATTCGGTTAACAGTTGGAACCAATTTTCGCCTTAGTTCGTTAACCCGGCTTTCCAATAATAAGCCCAGGTTTTTCTCAATTTATATACCATTTTTAACATAAATTTTCAAGTTGTATAAAATTCATATCTATATGTTTTTATCTATGTTTAAATTTCTTCTAACAGCTAGAAGTATTCATCTCTAATTATTTGAATTTGATTATTGAGATTTGTAAGTTTCGGTTTGTTTTCATGCTGATCCAAGTAACAGTTGCCCTTGGACTCAACCATTACTTGAGACTAGCACAACAATTGTCGCGTGCCAAGCAGTTCAAACAGTTCGACAAAGGTAGCCCAAAGGTAGTCCAAAGGACATTTATTGCCACACCACTCGACTCGACACGAGCGACAGCGACAGCGCCAGAGCTGAGCTCGAACCAGAGTTAGCCTGAGTGGCCATATGGTGCCGGTTGCTGGAGTGCGGCTCGGTGCAACATATGGTCAGTAGACGGGAGGCACTAAGAAATTCAACAGCGAGTTAATTGATGTGCCAGTCAGTAGCCGGTAGCTCATCCTCGCTCTCACCCTCACCCTCGCTCTCGCTCTCGCTGAGCCTTCTCGCTTGCTCGTTGCTGTTGTGTGCTGTTGAGCGTGAAAGTCACAAATTATAGAAAAGGAGATCACATGCCATGATAGCGGCAATTTGGCAAGCTATGACGCGTGCCAGAGCCAAGGCGAGAGCGGCGCAGCATGAATGAGACAAAGGTCAAAGTAGTAGGCGGGAGCGAGTGAGCGAGTCAGAGAGAGCGAGAGGAAGAGCGCATCTAACCCCTAACTGGCGAGCAGCAGAGCTGCGCCGCCCCTGTTGACGATCCTTGATATGGTAATGATGAAGATCCTGGCCGAGGGGCAAGGGGTCATTTGCGGGCCACATTCATACAAACTTGGTCAGCGCGGCGGTAATAATATTTGTGCAACTAGACCCCGTGGCCCGAAGGGTGGCTTTGCGGCCAACTGCAGCATAATCATTTTGTCTGTGGCCAGCGCGTGCCGCTCGCGCGTCAGTTGCAGTTGCGGCACAACATTCGAGCCGTGCAGAGCTGAACACGCGAGAGCCATGAGCCGCTACTACTCATCGGAGGAGGACAACAGCTCACAGTATCTGGGCAGTCCCAACTACAATCTAACGCTGATGTCCAGCGCTTCAGCGCCGCAGCAGTACAGCCAGTTGGCGTACCTGTCGCCCGACTGGCAATTTTTGGATGCCACTGGCGGCGCCTTGGAGCAGCAGCAGCACCCGATTGCCAGCTATGACGAAGCACACACCATGCAGATGCACCATGCCCTGCCAGAGGCCGAGAGCCTGCAGACGCTGAAGAAGCGCAAGCTGGGCCCGCGCAGATTGAGCGTACAGTCCACGCCCAGCTCGCTGGTGCTGAGTCCCACGGTGCAGAAGCGAAGACGGCAGGCGGCCAATGCGCGCGAGCGGAAGCGCATGAATGGCCTGAACGAGGCATTCGATAGGCTGCGCGAGGTGGTGCCAGCTCCCTCCATTGACCAGAAGCTGTCCAAGTTCGAGACGCTGCAAATGGCCCAATCCTACATATTAGCGCTGTGCGATTTACTGGACAACAATGGCGAAGACGTGGATGCCGCCGCCTATACGATCTTTGGCGGCAGCGAAAGCAGTTTTGAGCTGGGATCCTAAATGATCAAAATATGATTATTAAATAATATATAAAAAGCGTTATTTGGTTAAAATTGAATCTAAGATTTAAGGTTTGTGATTTTCTCTAACTGTAGCATTATAATAAAAGATATTGCATTAAATTAAGGAAATAATTTAAATTGAAATTTACTGAAGGGCAGGAAATAAGAAATCAACATGTTTAATTAATAGTGAAATGTTGCTGTGGGATTGGGATTTCTGAATAAACAAACAAGTTTCCGATCGAAAAACATGTTTTTGCATGGATCCAAAATTCATGTTTTAATCTCGATAGCTTTAAAACTGCGGGACTAAAGTTTACTTGGAGTGCAGACTATACCGATCCTGATGCTGATATTGATCAAAAGCTAATATGTATTGTGGGCTCGGATATATCTTCTTTAGTTCGTTTCGTGACAAAGTTAAAAGTCGATCAAAGTTGACTCATCGTTAAATCAGAAGCTTTCTGTGCATCATAAAAATCAATTAGCTGGGCTACGCTTCAATAGTTCCGGACACTGCTCATAAATTAATTACTAAAAACTTCATTGATGGGAAAACAATAAGTTCGGCAAACCCCTAACGAAACGGCCGTACAGAGCGGTATTTATAGCAATACCGGACTGTTATCCTCATATTGCACTGAAGCGTAACGCCCCTTGAGGTAACCAGGGTGCTTTTTATCAAAAGTACTTTGGCATCCTTCCCTACAATAAAATGCAGTTGAGTCTTTAGTTGGTGAATGACATTTTATGGTGCTATGGATGATGTGTGAAGAAACTAGAGCTATGGTTAGATTGGTTTGGCTTAGGTTGTCAGTGACTAGGTGATCGTTTCGGCATGGGCCGCATTGATTTCGAGTATCTCTCAACCGGCCAATGCTCTCTCTCGTAATTCTCTACTTCAAAATCCTTCATGCTGAGAGAGTTCTTCGACGGACGAAAGTTAGGCACCGGAGGATGCAATACAATTATGTCTCGTTTCGAAGCATCGAAATTCAATTTAAGAAACGGATTACTTCCTAAGCGTTCCGCAGGTTGTCTAGGATTTCGCCGTTCAGTTAAGTTGTTTCGTATTGGAAAGCATTTCTTGGGCCGTTCTTGAGATTCTGAAATAGAATTAAAATCATCTTCCGCATTCGGCGCGTTTTGTGATATGTGATTGTTCAGTATGCCTATTGTCGTCTCCGCCAAAGTTGGCGGCACCCGGAACGAGCACAATATAGCCAGACCATCGCATGTTTGCGATTTATTTACATGCTTTTTGTACACCTCATAGCCGCCATTCTGATGATTGCTGACTTTAATGTGTATCTCATCCTGCATTTCGTAAACGTACTGGCGTGCTGGGCCGCCGAGGGCCTGGAATTCTAGGTAATGCCACCGATCAGATTGCAAGTATTTAATAATTTATGAACTTACTGTTTAGGCCGTCATCGTCGATTTTGTTCTGACGCTTGCTGAGCGAACGTGGCTTGGCTCCCACCGGTGACTGAGTCCGTTGTTTCAACTGTTCGTGTTTTGTCGCAGGACCTACAGGACTTGCAGCCTTGGCGTTTTTGACATTTTTATTGAATACAGGTGGCTTGCATGAGCAGATTTTCCCTATTTTTTTGGCTCCTTTTGCGACCCTGGACTTAACTGGCGGAGCACTTTCAGGTTCATTAAAGATTGCATTTTTTTCTTCTTTCGCCTTTTTCTCTATAAGCTTGGCTGTTTCCAAGGAATCTTGAGAGCAATTGCATTTCTTTCGTCTGGCTCTATCAGTCAAGGTCATGTCAATGTCCGTCTCAACGGCCGCCTCGCAAAGACAAGGAGCCCTTATAGGTGGCTCTGGCTTTGGCTCTTCCTTGGCGGGCTCGAATTTCTCCGCATCATCTTCGCTTGTTGGGCACTCACAATCAAGCATTACCTCATCAGGTTTCAAGTCTTCCTGATCGGTAAGGGGCTCTTTAGGACTACTTTCTGGCTCGTACTTTTCAGGTATAACTTCTGGTTCGTACTTTTCAGGTATAATTTCTGGCTCGTACTTTTCAGGTATAATTTCTGGCTCGTACTGTTGAGGTATAATTTCTGGCTCGTACTTTTCAGGTATAACTTCTGGTTGGTACTTTTCTGGTATAACTTCTGGCTCGTACTTTTCTGGTGGATACTCTATTTCTCGAATAACCGGAGCTGGCTGATATTCTGGCTCTATATTGCCTTTATAAGGAGCTATCCGATTTTCTGGACAGTAGCAGTCAGGTTCACCTTTATAGGGTTTCTCCTTATAAGGAGGTATCGGATTTTCTGGGCAGGGGCAGTCTTGATAATCTTTATAGGGTTCCTTCTTATAAGGAGTTATCTGATTTGCTGGCTCCTTCTTGCGATTTGCTGGGCAGAAGCAGTCTAGATTACATTTAAAGGGTTCCCTTTTGAGATTTGCTGGACAGGAGCAGTCTGGATCATATTTATAGGGTTCCTTCTTACGATTTGCTGGACAGGAGCAGTTTAGGTCACAATTAAAGGTTTGTTTCTTGCGGTTATATTGATTTGGCAGATTGGCTGCACATAGACAGGGATCATAGTGCTCTTGTTGATTTGCAGGTTCATTATTCTTATCGGTGTTAAAATCAGCGTCCGTCCTTCCGTAGTTCTCCTGATAGGTCTGATCCTTATGGCGGTTATACTCTTGTCTTTCTTGGTAGCTATCATGATGCGCCTGGTTTCCTAGACAGATACAGTCTTCAATATTTTTATCCTCTCTACTTCCACGGGCATCCTGGATGTTCTGGTATTTAGGACAAATAGGAACCATATCGAGATCTCTGCCATCGATATTTGTGTTTGTCTGGTAATTTGCAGGACATTCATTGTAATCCTGTTCAGATTGGTATTTTGATATAGGATCCTTACCACGATTATACTCATCGTCTTGTCTGGTCTGGTATTTATCTGGTACATATTCCGTATCGCGCTTGTAACTTTGCCTTCCTCCATAGTTTCCCTGTGGACATTCACAGTCCATACCGTGGTTAAGATTGTCGGTTGGGTTTTCGTAATCTTCCTGACCATTCTGATCTTTTAAAGACAAACGGTCCTTTTCACTATTATATTCATCGTCCGTAGTCCTTTCTCCGTAGTCCTCCTTGTCGATTTCGTAATTTGCGGGATATTCATTGCTTTTTTGACTGTTGCGTGTACTTCTAACCAATGCGCACGTTGCGTAACAACTACCTTTACAAAGATTATTAGGACCGTACCGATCATAGTCCTGTTCTCTTTCTTGTTTTTCGAGGCTTTGCCGATTTGATCTATATTTGGAACTGTTTGGCGAAATATACCCTTCATCGCCCCGTTGAGATTGCCTTTGCGGAGGCTCCACCGGATCAGTCTCGGGATAATAGTCCTGACTAGCATGCCTAGATCTTTCTCCTTTATCGCGGCTTTGCCGATTTGATCTATTTTTAGAACCATCTGGCGAAGTGTACCCTTCATCGCCCCGTTGAGATTGTCTTCGCGGAGACACTACCGGATCAGTCTCTGGATAATAGTCCTGACTATTATGCCTTGATCTTTCTATTTTATCGCGGCTCTGCCGATTTGATCTATTTTTAGAATCATCGATCGGTTGAGATTGTCTTCGCGGAGACTCCATCGGATTAGCCTCGGGATAATAGTCCTGACTAGCATGCCTAGATCTTTCTCCTTTGTCACGGCTTTGCCGATTTGATCTATTTTTAGAACCATCTGGCGAAGTGTACCCTTCATCGCCCCGTTGAGATTGCCTTTGCGGAGGCTCCACCGGATTAGCCTCGGCATAATAGTCCTGACTAGCATGCCTAGATCTCTCTCCTTTATCGCGGCTTTGTCGATTTGATCTATTTTTAGAACCATCTGGCGAAGTGTACCCTTCTTCGGCCCGTTGAGATTGCCTTCGCGGAGACTTCATCGGATCAGGCCCGGGATAATAGTCCGGATTATCATTCATAGATCTCTCTTGTTTTTCGATGCTCTGACGATTTGATCTATTTTTAGAACCATCTGGCGAAGTGTACCCTTCATCGCCCCGTTGAGGTTGCCTTTGCGGAGGCTCCACCGGATCAGTCTCGGGATAATAGTCCTGACTAGCATGCCTAGATCTCTCTCCTTTATCGCGGCTTTGCCGATTTGATCTATTTTTAGAACTATCTGGCGAAGTGTACCCTTCATCGCCCCGTTGAGATTGCCTTTGCGAAGGCTCCACCGGATCAGTCTCGGGATAATAGTCCTGACTAGCATGCCTAGATCTCTCTCCTTTATCGCGGCTTTGCCGATTTGATCTACTTTTACAACCATCTGGCGAAGTGTACCCTTCATTGCCCCGTTGAGATTGCCTTCGCGGAGACTGTACCGGATCAGTCTCGGGATAAAAGTCCTGATCGGGTTTACTCCTTGACATTCTTCTTGATTGCAATCTTGATTGTTTTCCCGGGATGTCTTCATTTTGTTGGCCAGACGCCGACGAAACTCTTTCATCTTCACCACTTCGGCGCATCTTCCTTTCTGGACCATCTACAAATTCTTCCTCATTACTTCGGCGCGTTGGTCTTTCGGGGCTCCCTCTAAAGTCATCACTTCTTTGCCGATTTCTGTTTTCTGGGCCCTCGTCGTCATATTCGTCCATTTTTTCCTGTCTTCCCGAAGGGCACATTATCATGTTTTCCTTGGGCGATTTATTAAATCTACTTCTGTTATTTGTACAGACCATCCTTTTGAGAGGCCGTGCTTGTTCGAACGATGGTCGATTGGACACCGCTCTAGACCCAGCTACAGATGCAACCCTTGAAGTTCGCTTTGATTCAAGTCTAGACGATGCGATTGGTATATCCCTAATAAGATCACGATCGTTTTCCTTTCGAGGGAGTGATGGTGGCACATACATTTCAGATTCTGGCTCTGGCTCTGATAGTATTGGCTCCGGGTCCGGTTTCGGAGTGGGTTCATTGTATTCAGGTTGCTCATTTGGAAAGGCATTTGGGCAACATGTGCAAACTCCATCCCCTTGATAAGTTGGCTGTACGCTCAATTGCTGAACAAATGGAAATGTGACGGAGCCGTTAAAGCTGGTACTTCCTGTATATTTGTAGTTTTGATTCTTAGCGTCCTCGCTTGATTTGCGACCAACATCTCGTGAGCTTCTACCACTGCGATAGTCACTCTCCCTGCCATCACTCATCCTATGGTGCAGTTTTTGGCTTCCAGAATCATTATTTCTCTGCCAGTCCTCCGTATCGATATATGAATCAGGGCCATGTGAATGCCTTGCCTTGCTTCTGTATCTTGCGGTCAAAATCTTTTTTTTGGGTGGAACTCGAGCTCTGGCCCTATAAGATTCACCATATATAAAATCTTCATCATACGTACTCGTAGTAGCACCCATTTCTGGCCTATATATAGCTGGACTTTGATTATGGCTACGTCTCTCAATTCCGCTGCTGACACTATAGTTGCTGTTACGCGACTTCCACTGGCTCCCAACATAATTGTCATCTTCATGGTCGTTATAAGAATTTGATGTGGTGAGCCATCGATCGTTACCAGAAACTACTCGAATTGGAAGCTGATTATCTCGTACATCAAGTGGAGGCAAAGGCAGTTGCATAAATTGCTCTCTGTCTGAGGAGACAACCGAATGCAGCACAGAGCTTGTAATGCCATCTTCATTCGATGCGGAAGTGATCTGAAAATCAACTTGTTCGCTGCGGATACTGTTCTCGCTGCTGCTCAGCAGAAATGCATCCTCAACGAGGCAGTTGATTTGGTCGCTGGTGACCTGAGTCTTTGTCTGTAATGCAGATATATTATAATTTTGTTAATCTTCTTGGGATTTTATGCAATGATATCACATACCTCAATGGCTTTAACAGTGACACTGTGCTCCATCGCTTCTTTCAAAAACTCCAGATCTGCAAAGTACGATTGTCGAGGGACATAGTGGTATCCTCCCAGTTTGCTGCGTTTAATGGCTAATAGTTCTGTGGCATAGTAATAACGAAGCGATAAAATCTGCAATTTGATCTGCTCCACGGTTAGCTTGTCCTTAAAAAATTGTGATATGCGTAACCAGGCTCTCTCCTTCAACGCCAAATTCTTAAATCCCGATGATTTTGGATTCCAAAGACAATCATTGGCGCGATAAAGACGAATAAGTTTGTATGTGCCATTCACGTCGCTTTTACGCTTTCGGTTGGATCCCATTTTTTTGACAATTAAGAACTTCGTAAACTAACCAACCTTTACCAGCAATCTACCATAACATAGTGCCTTCTTAGGCTATGGTAACTGGTCTATTACGTATTGTACAATTTCAAATTAATTTTGTATGCTAAATGTAAAATGTTAACGCTTCAAAAACAAATAAATGTATGTGGAAAATAAACGAAAGTTTGGCAATTAATTCAAAATCGAGTGCTGGAAAAGTTCTGAAAACCAACCGATAACGATACTTGCCGAAATACATTCACTTAACGAAACAGCTTAAACAAAAAGCTTGAACATTTCTAACTTATTTAGATAACTACTTAATTATGCAGCCAGCGTTTATATACGAATTATAAATAGTGCTCCCAAAACAACCAGAAATAGGTACATATATCGAGCACTGTCAACACTTTTGCAGCTAGGCTGTGCAATCTATCGAACAAATATCGGTCCGCCGCCACAATCTATCGACCATCTATCCTACAAATAATTTTTTATTCAACGTGATATTGAACCTAAAAAATACAATTTAAGTGGAACAAATTTAAAGGCACAACGCATGAGAGTGCATTTAACAGGCTGCAAAACATTCCGGGCCAATAAACAAGCGAACTTAATTAAAATACAGGCCATTGCAGTAACAGTAGCAGTAGCAATAACAACAACATTTGCATCCGATTGATTGTGATTGTGACTGGTGTCTGGTATAACCACAAAAATTTTCTCTGCATTTCGAGCCCCAATTTTGCTGGGAGAACGGGCACTTCGAAAAACCGAAGAGCGGCGGGACGGTACAACAAATTCACAATCAGTGCTTGGTGGCTTCGTCATCGTCGTTTTATTTGTTCGAATGTTAATTTTTGTAATTACATCGAATTTTAACACTGAACATCAAAGTTGAAGTACCACCAACTATAATATAAGATTGCGACAATTGTATGCGAGATTAAGCTCCAAGTAAAATAAACTTGGCTGAATAAGCATAAGCTGCTGTTAATATTGCAACAACAACAAGAATTGTACAAAAGTGTGTGGGTGACGGAACTGCATTAAAATGTCTGCGGAACGCGAAATACCCGCTGAGGACAGTATCAAAGTCGTATGTCGTTTTCGGCCGCTCAACGACAGCGAGGAAAGGGCCGGCTCAAAGTTTGTTGTCAAGTTTCCAAATAATGCGGAGGAGAACTGCATATCCATAGCGGTAATTAAACAAAATATAACCAATCAGATTAAACGATACACACACACACGCATACATAAGCATACATATGCACACATATTTCTGCGTGCCGTTGCGGTTCTGTGGCGGTGACGTCATGCCGAACATTGTCTAACATTAGCGCAGTACATTAGCCTTTCCTTACCGCCACAATTACACAAACACACACGCATATATGTAGTACAACTGAGTGAAAGAGAGTAGCAATTATATACATACATATGTACATACGCTTGTGTGTATTATAACTAATTAGCGATCCAATTTTTGCGCGTGCTTGTGCAATTTTGGATTTTGTTGCCAAATAACTCTAACATTGTTACTACAATCGCCACATTGAGGCAAAAACAGAAGTCGTTCAATTGATTTTTCGCGCATAGTGGCAACCTGGCCTATGTGTCTGTGTGTGTGTGTAACCAGAGCCACCCACTCGTGTTTGCCGGGCATGTTTTTTTATATTTGCATTGCTATTTGACTTGATATGGCAATATATGCACATTCTACCTGACTACCAATACGCCCAACTTCAGCTTCACCTCTACCAACATAGACCTAGGTATGTACTCTATGTGTGTGCGTGTATGTTCAGTAAGCTTTGGCCCCAAAACAAACCATCGCCCTCAAATGTTGCTGCTTGCCACCAGCTGCTGCCCGTTAAATGAGTCATGCACGCAAGCCCAGAAAAAACTGTAAATAATAATGTAGCAACAACAACATGAATATGCATGTTTTCGTTAAAGACATTTGGATTTTACTGAATATTATTAATGGCCCAAAAGTTCATCTGTCTTCCACTGTGTCCGCCATGATAAAGTTAGTTGCACACATTATACATATATCTAAATGTTAATAAGTATATATGTATATGTATATGTGTGTATACCCTTGCTAAGCGAAGCGGCATAAGCTGCATGTCGAATATTCTCACCACAACTTTACTCTTTTATTGTAAATACAATTGTTAGTCATTGATCGAGCTTGTTACATGTGCTGTTAATATTGTCAACTCTTCAAATGCCTACAACAAAGTTAACATTTTATAGCTATTGTTTATTACTCCGCATTTCTCGGTATATATTTGTTTAGACATTGACTAAGTGGAATCGGGTTACATGCGAAAGTTGGGTGGATTTAAAATGGAATTGCAGTTCTTAATTAACAGCTGTGAAAAACTGGCTAACTAAAAGCCAGCAAGGAATGCTGGAAATATAAAGCATTGTAAATATAGATAGAAAGCTAGCTACAGAAGTTTTAGTTTAAAGTTACTCTTAAAATCTCGATAACCATTAGGATTGTGTGACTGCTGCTCTCTCTCTCTCTCTCTCTCTCTGAGCTCTTTGGTGGAAGACACTTTTGATAGTTGTTTGCAGGGTATATTTCAGTCGTTTACCTCCGGCGCAATCTTTACCTATTATTCATATCTGCTCATACTGCTGCTCTCTTTTAGCTCTTTCTTTTACTACTGCTCGTTATTCATTAATTTCAAGTTCCACTCATTTGTTGTGCTTCTGCCTCTTGATGCCTGTGCTCATCTTATAATTACGAGCCGTTTCGCGGTGATGCGTTGAAAATTATTTGAAAGCTGTTTTGTGGATAGAAAGGGGATTGGGGTTGCTGACATAGACACATGTTGTGGCCGGCATGAAGACACAAGACACGAAAAATATTTTCACTTAACTACAAAATTAGTGGTTGTTTATTTTAGGGCAAGGTATATCTGTTCGACAAAGTCTTTAAGCCGAATGCGTCGCAGGAGAAGGTGTACAATGAGGCGGCCAAATCGATTGTCACGGACGTGCTGGCTGGCTACAATGGAACGATATTCGCCTACGGTCAGACATCCTCCGGTAAGACGCACACAATGGAGGGCGTCATTGGGGATTCGGTGAAGCAGGGTATAATTCCGCGCATTGTGAACGACATTTTCAATCACATTTACGCGATGGAAGAGAATCTGGAGTTTCACATTAAGGTTTCGTACTATGAAATCTATATGGACAAGATCAGAGATTTGCTCGATGTATCCAAGGTGAATTTGAGTGTGCACGAGGATAAGAATCGTGTACCCTATGTCAAGGGTGCCACGGAGCGTTTTGTCTCCTCGCCCGAGGATGTCTTTGAGGTGATCGAGGAGGGCAAATCCAATCGTCACATTGCCGTGACAAGTAAGTAGAGATAATATAAATCGAAAGTAAGAGGTAAATCTAATAAATTTAATCTCTTATAGACATGAATGAACATTCATCGCGTTCCCACTCGGTGTTCCTTATTAATGTAAAGCAGGAGAATCTGGAGAATCAAAAAAAGCTTTCCGGCAAGCTGTATCTGGTGGATTTGGCTGGTTCCGAAAAGGTATCGAAAACAGGTGCTGAGGGCACAGTGCTCGATGAGGCGAAGAACATTAACAAGTCGCTATCGGCGCTGGGCAATGTCATTTCGGCGCTGGCGGATGGCAACAAAACGCACATACCGTATCGTGACTCTAAGCTGACGCGTATCCTGCAAGAGTCGCTCGGTGGCAACGCACGCACAACGATTGTCATCTGCTGCTCGCCGGCCAGCTTTAACGAGTCGGAGACGAAATCTACGCTGGACTTTGGTCGGCGCGCCAAGACAGTGAAGAATGTTGTGTGTGTCAACGAGGAGCTTACCGCCGAGGAGTGGAAGCGTCGCTACGAAAAGGAGAAGGAGAAGAATGCACGGCTCAAGGGCAAGGTGGAGAAGCTGGAGTTGGAGCTGGCGCGTTGGCGTGCCGGTGAAACGGTCAAAGCGGAGGAGCAAATCAACATGGAGGATCTCATGGAAGCCAGCACGCCCAATCTCGAAGTTGAGGCGGCTGCGCAGGCTGCTGGTGCCGCAGCAGCGGCGGCAGCTCAACGCACTGCCATTGCTAACATGTCCGCCTCGGTGGCAGCTGATGAGCGAGCGCGATTGGCCACGGAATGCGAACGCCTCTATCAGCAGCTGGACGATAAGGATGAGGAAATCAATCAGCAGAGCCAGTATGCAGAGCAACTGAAGGAGCAGGTCATGGAGCAGGAAGAGCTTATTGCAAATGCGCGACGTGAATACGAGGCACTGCAATCGGAAATGGCGCGCATTCAACAGGAGAACGAATCGGCCAAGGAGGAGGTCAAGGAGGTGCTGCAGGCTCTCGAGGAGCTGGCTGTCAACTACGACCAGAAGTCGCAGGAGATCGACAACAAGAACAAGGACATTGATGCCCTCAACGAAGAACTGCAACAGAACAAAACTCAATTCAATTCCACCTCGACGGAGCTGCAGCAGCTGAAGGACATGTCCACGCACCAAAAGAAACGAATCACTGAAATGCTAACCAATCTGCTGCGGGATCTGGGCGAGGTTGGCCAGGCCATAGCGCCCGGCGATTCCGCGATCGATCTCAAGATGAGTGCCCTGGCGGGCACCGATGCCGCTAAAGTGGAGGAGGACTTTACTATGGCACGTCTGTATATCAGCAAAATGAAAACGGAGGCAAAGAACATTGCGCAGCGCTGCGCTAACATGGAGACGCAGCAGGTGGATTCCAACAAAAAGATATCCGAGTACGAAAAGGATCTGGGCGAGTATCGTCTGCTTATCTCGCAGCACGAGGCACGGATGAAGTCGCTGCAGGAGTCGATGCGCGAGGCCGAGAACAAGAAGCGTAATTTGGAGGAGCAGATCGATTCGCTGCGCGAAGAGTGCGCCAAACTGAAGGCCGCCGAGCATGTGTCCGCGGTGAATGCCGAGGAGAAGCAGCGCGCCGAGGAGTTGCGTTCCATGTTCGACTCGCAGATGGATGAGCTGCGCGAGGCGCACACTAAACAGGTATCGGAGCTACGCGACGAGATTACCGCCAAGCAGCACGAAATGAATGAGATGAAGGATGTGCATCAGAAGCTGTTGCTGGCGCATCAACAGATGACCGTCGACTACGAGAAGCTTAAGCAG